TAACCAGTTCGGTAGATTTGACGAACCGGTTCTACCGAATAGGTGCGAACTGGTAGGAACCCAACTTTGATCCAATCCTTGAAGAACATATAAGAGATGTTAAGCGAATTAGTGTTCTACAAGCCAAAGCAAACAAGGCAATTTATGGGGAGAAGGGGAAGATGGCCCAAGATCACCTAAATGGCTTTCATTCCTAAGGCAGGACTAGAACTCACAAGCTCCTGGTTTATGGTCCACCAAATAGGCTTCAAGACACTCAAACTTGAGTTAAATGGATAGATTGCAGAGGTCAGCCTGGGTACCATTGCTTGTAGGTAGGACTTGGAGGAACCTATCATGTCTGACAGGGGTGGGATTCAATTTTTTTTACTACCGGTTCTGTGGCTGTGGCTTCGTGGGCATGGCAGGGGAAGGATACTGTAAAATCTCCATTCCCTTCCCACTCCAAAGGAAGGATACTTTAATATATCCATTCCCTTCCCAGTCCAGGGGAAGGTTACTGCAAAATCCCCATTCCCTCCAAATTGGCTCCAAGACTCTCGAACTTGAGTTAAATTTTCCAAGGCATCTGAGGGTAGAACAAGAAGCAATGGGTAGAAACTAATCAAGGAGAGAAGCAACTTAGAATTAAGGAGAAATTTCCTGACAGTTAGAACAATTAATCAGTGGAACAGCTTGCCTCCAAAAGTTGTGAATGTCCCAACCCTGGGACTCTTTAAGAAGATGTTGGATAGCCATTTGTCTGAAATGGTATTGGGTTTCCTGCCTAGACGGGGTTGGACTAGAAGACCTCCAAGGTCTCTTCCAACTCTGCTATTGTATTGTATTATAAATGGATAGATTGCAGAGATCAGCCTGGGTACCATTGCTTGTAGGTAGGACTTGTTGGAACCTATCATGTCTGGCTACCATTGAATTAAACATCTAAAATGGGACTTATCTATTCCTGTTAAACAGATATATCTCCAAGAAGCTTATCAACAGGACATTCATAGAATTCACAGAGCTGGAAAGTACTATTCCGGAGATCGAATCCAACCCTGTCCAGCTCAGTGCAGAAAATCAAATTAAACCATCCTGACAGATGGCTGATCAGCTTCTGAATGAACACATCCAGCGAAAGAGAGTCCAACACCTCCCTCAGTAATTGGTTCTTCGTTATGGCAAACATTCCTAGCTGCAGGAAAACTCTACACCTACATCCCAGAAAGCTAATCCAGCAGGTCAGCAAAAGTGAAAATCTTACTCTTCAAAAAAAGAGTGGGAGGAAAAAAAAACCCTATCTCTGAGTCCTTTCTCTTAATTAAACCTCTCTTTCAAGCTTAATCAAATGATTTGGCAAATTAGTGCCAAGCAGCTGCAGCCACACAGAACAGAACCTGCAGGAAAGGAAAGCAGGAAAGAGGGAGCACAAAAGAGTGTGAGGGTATTGTGGCCTGCCAGCAGCCAACGGAGCTGGCAGCAGAGTAGGACAGGGAGGAGGTTGGGGAGGAGCACGGGCCAGTCCTGAAGGATGGGGAAGGCTCAGACGAGGGCTCTGCGTCAGAGGCAGAGATGGGGCCAAGGCCATCTGGCAGTTCTCAATGAGGCAGCAGTGAGGCAGAGGAACAGCTGGAGCCTGTTCCCAGTATGCGCATGCGCAGAGGTGCCAGAGAAAAAGGACAGCTAAGAAATCAGGGTCGACATGGGAGTAAAGCCACAGGTGGATGGTGAATGGCCCCTCCCATAGGAAATAAAAGAGGAGCGAAAGGGGAGTGGGCTTTTGCAGGAAACAATTTGTTCGTTCGGTCATTAGATTCGTTTCAGGAGTGTGAAGATCTGTCCGTGAATCTCAGAGACTCTGTGCCCAGCCTTTTCTTGCACTGCACCACATTTGGAAAATATTTACATGGCAGCTTTCCAAGATAGATAAGGTCTGTGGTCATAAATATTCCTTTGAAAGACTGTTTGCCAGGCCTTTGCTGAATGAATGAGAGGGATTCACATTTGTTTAATAAAAGGGGTTTTGTCAGGACCAGGGACTCTGCCTTGTGCTTTTTGG